ACCAACCACTGCCTGACACCTCACCAACCACTGCCTGACGCCTGACCAACCACTGCCTGACGCCTGACCAACCACTGTCTGACACCTGACCAACCGTGCCTGACACCTGACCAACCACTGGTATTGTTTTTTGATATGAAAATTATGGCTCATAGCCACATTTATTTGTACTTAGATATCATCAAGGTGGTGATAGACCAAGGGAGTGAATTGTATGACAATATTGAAATTAGTGCCAACTTCATGAAATATAATGACCAGGTGAGTTTTTTTATATGATTTAATGATTGTTTCCATAGAGTATGTGATGCCATGTAATCCATGAATCAGATCAAAATATTATGAATCATTCAAAGTTTTGAAAATCACTGCTCAGGCATGGTACTATCGTGGACATCATATAATATGTTCATAACAGGTGTTTTTCTACACAGTCATTTAAAGTTTCCTCTAAGGTTTTGTATAGTAAAACTAGTATCCATGAGTGCTGACCATTAATGAAGTCTTCATAACTTACACTTGCAGGGTGTTATGGTTGGATTTGAAGGAAAGCTCATCTCATCCAATAACAAGGAAGAAAGGACAAAAGATCTGGCATTTTTCAAAAAAATGAAGGCAAGTATTTGTTATATTTTTTATTAGTTCTATTCAAAAGAAGCTGGCACACAGCTGCAAAACCCTTTTGCTAAAACTGACCTTGTGACAAATGTTTCTTGTGCATAAATAGTAGTTCATCTGGGTTTTTTTTCATGAGAGGAGTCTCACAAATAAAGTTTAACAAGGAGCCTAATATGATATAAGTATTACACTTTTAGGGTCAATATCAGTGTGATAAAGCTGTAATTAAAAATCATATCAGTGAAGTGATACGATATCATTTCACAGTGAACTGGAAATTGTAAATTTTATCATTTTATCAACCCTCAATTATTCACTCGTTTTCCATCTGATATCACTCAATGCCCAAGCCAGTTATAACCTTGCTGTGTTGGCGGCCGTGGTCTACACTTGTCTATACTTTGCTTTTATGTTGCCGAGACCGGTTGGGCACCATAATAACCTAAACTTTACGATTGTCAGGGTTTTCATTTAGGGTCAGAGAATACAGACTATAATCTTTTATCTTTTCAAAATCCTATTTCTTTCCACAGAGCCGTACCAATGTTATTGTGATGGGGGATTTAATCCAAGATACCGATGTTGTCAAAAGCATTCAAAATCCTGAAAATGTTCTCACAATTGGATTTCTAAATGAAAAGGTAATTGATGGCAACCATTCTGAAATATGAAATAACTGTTATAAATATGGTTTTCTTATTGGTTGGGGGTGCCTGCTTTATGAGAACACACAACACTATGTTATGCATGCACATATAGCATACGTGCATTTACATTTTCTATTAATTCATTATAAAGAGTGTGTTTAATCCCGTTTATTTCATGCATGGTCACCATTGGGAAACTGGTCCAGTTAGAACAATGATTTAAAGAAATATATCATAGCTAGCATGACACAGGAAAATATAACCACATTTAATTTATTCTCAAAATTCTATGCAAATACTTTTTGCTGCCAAACAAGCTTTTACACCCCTTATTTGGTAAAACCAGCCAGCTTTGCATCAAAATGTATGTCAAATTAACATACAAAAGCCAGCACATAAATTATGCAAACATAAATCATTGCCAGTCATACTTTAGCAAAAAAATACCTTGAGACCTGGACAACCCAGGAAGTCCAATTCCATTAGGAAGCAACTCTTCTCCTCCAATCCCCCTCCCCCTAGCATTGTTGAATGGACAAGAGATCATGTGCCAGCAGTTGTTCAGTTAGCCGAAACTACATTGAAAACCATCAATAATAACACTGGAACATGTTTCTCATTTTTACACGATTCTTAAATGTGCTTATTTCTTTCAACACTACTTTTCTCATGCAGGTTGATGAACGACTCAAGGATTATGAAAATGCATTTGATATTGTGATTGTTGATGACCACAGCATTGAAACCGTTGACCTTCTACTGATGAAACTTTTTCACTGCTAAATTATAACCAGGGCTATCTTGCTCTCTTGGTTAACGCTCTCACCCTTCTCAAAAGTATGGTGGATGCAAGTCTAACATAAAAATACAAAAGAAATCACACTTTTTCTCAATGGAATTGCCCTATTTCACTATGACGTCACTGCTTGTTTATGTGGGAGATAGCTAGAATTGCCAAATCCAATAGAAAATTCAACACAATTTGCTCCTAGCGAAACAGTTTAATCTAAAATGGCCTGGTTTTCAGATATAATATGTGTTAATATGTACTAAAAAATATTCTGAGTGTTTGCTGGCTATTCTACTCCTCTTTGTGGATTGATACAGGTTTTAGAACAATTTTCGATGAATTTGCATTGATTTGACCCCCTCTGACAACCATGATCCTTTGCGTTTAAACAATAGATCGTTTTGATGTGACGTCATAGTGAAATAGGGCAATTTGTTGCATTTCTTTTGTATTTCCATGTTAGCCTTGCATTTTAAGAAGGGTCCATTGGGACTCCTTCATACCAGTACTCTAATTTCAATTAATGCCATTAGGAATTATTTCACTTAACTTAATGTTAACTTATTTAAATAAAATAATAGCATATACTCAAAAATGCATAGTAAACAAATCTATTGTCTTCCTTTAAACTTCTGCCTTAAACGTGAGTTCAATGACAATGATGTCAGTGGCTACCGAGTACTAAGGAATAATAAGTTACACTGTGTTAAACAAGTCTATACATTATAATTAAAAGTTGTCTCTGTATTGTGAAATTTACGATTTTTAAACTGAAGTTTCTGGAAATATACAGAAAACTTTCTTCCTAATATTCTAATGCTATTGTGGGCACTATAAGATCTTTAAAACTCACGCATGCAAACATTTTCAGTTACACTCATAAAGGTCTTTGTTTAGACCGAAACGTCTATTTATAAATTGTAGATTTCAAAACTCAGAGACAACTTAAAACTATGATGAATCATGAATCCTGACTGCAATTTCAGAATGTATAGTTCCAAAAATTACCCATACCCCCCTCACGGAAAAATGTTTTTAAGACACCCCCTACCCCCCAGAAAGTTCAATTTTCTTCCATACGAACTCTGTAATTTTTGTCCTTTTTCTGATTCCCCTACTCTTTGGAAATTCCAAATTCCTCTGTGAGGTGGCTATGGATGATTTCTGGATTTACACAATATTTAAACTACAGTAGACTGTATTATATAGAAAGAAACAGTCTGTGTTGTAACTTTTTTACATAACACATGCTCCGATAAACTACAGTAGTAATATAACAGTTCTCAACCAATCAGAGTGTGTTTACTATAATTATGATTAAAATAATAACTAATATAAAATTTAGTTTTATGAGCTTTCCTATTTTTACTCAATATGAATAAATAAATAAGAGGTAAATTAATACAAGGAACATAGTCATCAACATGGTCTAATATGAGAAAACATAGGTAAAGAGCTTTATTAATAATCAATTAGTTTTAAACTTTTTAAAATCGGCCGTTTGCATGATGGCGTCATTTTACTACCAGTACCAGAATGTTTCACGAATTTTCTCTCTTATTCAAATTAGTATTTCCTTATGAGAATAGTAAGACAATTGGTGCTAATTAACTGAACAAAAGAAAGTGTGCTAGGAAGTAGTGGTAGTTAATGATGTTATAATTCAAGTGACCTTTTGTAAGACAAGTGTTAGTAGTAGTAAGAGTATATGGCAATAAAAAGTATTTCTAATCTTTGTAGACTGAATATAATTCATTTCTGCAAGCAAATAGAGCGTTTTCACTCACGTGAGAAGGCAGCCATAAACAATAGAAACTTTCTGTACAGTATTTGCATAAAAATAGAGTTCAATTCCTGGAGGATAGAAAATGTATTGTTTTGGTGTGACGCTGTGACGTCACGTGAAAACGCTCTATTAATAGCCTYCTTTGGGTTCTCTGACACATGAATAGCCCCGAGTTCTATCAATCATTCACTCATCCGTCTTGTGTTAAGCAGCTGTCACTTCATCTAAATCATTATTTCAGGATCCTGAATTGGGGGTCCAAATCCCATTTCCCAGCCCCAATTTCAACAAAATCCCATAGACCCAGCCTATGTTTTGCTCAAATCTCAATCTCAATCTCAATCCCATTTTATGATTTTTTAATTTTTGTTTGTGAATCCCACTCCCAGTGCATAAAATCCCATTTTCCCAGCCCCAAAAAGGCGACTCCCAGCTCAGGGCCCTATTATTTATAATGATAATTCTTTCATGGACGATAAAGATTGGACACTTGTGCAGCCCTTGCTTTGCCAGTTGTTCAGCAGCCTGCTGGTGCTTATATTAGCAATCAATCTTCTGTTAAGAGGATGTCACTTCATCTTCATCATTCTTTATGATGGTGATTCTTTTCTTGTCAGACTCAACTTCCAATTCCAATTCTTTTAGTACCCATCTAAAAGGAATACCAGAATCAAAGAAGCTTTAAATGAGGATTGGAATTGCAAAACATGAAAATCTGAGTAGGCTTCATGCCTACGTATTTTAATTACTTTGATTATGCAATGCAAGTTAATCAGCCTTCACTGCAGTGGCGGATCCAGGATTTTTCAAAGGGGGGTTCCGTTTCTTAAACTGTGTATAATTCTCTTTTGTTTAGTCGATGTCTGACAAAAAAATTGGCTCTAATCACCGAACCCCCCTGGATCCGCCACTGCACTGGATGGAATATGATGTGAGACATCAGGGGCGGATCCAGGGGAGGGGTGCAGGCGGTGCACACCCCTCCCTGGTTACACTTTGTGCTCCTACCTCGATGATAACCAATTTTGTTTTTTGCCTTTGATTCTAAGGGGTGCACCCCTCCCTGTCTGGGTTAACATTGTGCACAGCACCCCTCCCTGAAACAAAAACCTGGATCCACCCCTGGACATTGTCCTTGCCATTGCTATTCTCTCTAGGAATTGAATGAGCGCTACTTGATAGGATGGCAAGGACAAGAGTTCATGCATGGTAAACCATTTTTAAAACCTGCTCATGTCATTGTTGCCCTGGAATCATTGTTCTGGATGCTTGTTGATCTTTTCCTCTATACTCACAGGACTGACATGGTCTGAAAGGGTGGGAAATGCAACAGATAAGGTTTATACTTACTGTTCATCCAGGGATTGTCTGGTTGCAAATGAAAACAAATTTCCTGTGGTCTTGCTTCCCCTAACAGGGATCACAATCTGCATAAAAACAATTATTCAATCATTATCATCATCATTATTATTATTATTATCACTATTTTTAGTTATCATTATCAAATATAAACTATAGATGACTTTGTAAGAGAAAAACATACATATAGAGATAAACTTAAATAGACATATTGCAGCAAATTCTAAACAACTATCGATATAATAAACAACAAAATTTGAATAAAAGCACTTTCAGTTATGGATACAATCCAATGTCCTCATCCTCATCATCATCGATCGTCATCATCTTCATCATTGTTGTCATCMTCATCATTCATTTTAGTCCATCTTCATTCATACCTGTGCCCTCTCGTGGTCCACTTGTATGTCTTTGCGTCCAAGATTCATGTATCTGAAACGCACAGGGTTCCCAACAGCCTCAACAGCAACAGGATGCTTTCTAAACTCATCCACTGACTTCTTGTAATAATCCATTGACGCCAAATTTGCTGATAAAATATAACGATAATAAGACGGTACATTATTTTTTCCGGATCTTAAAGCATAATATTTGAAGTTATATTTCTAAATTATTATTACTTGATAGACAGTAGCTGATTGGAAATGTTTTTGCACATTTTCGTGTCTTCTCACCTTAAATATCAGCAAAACACACTGCTTACCTACCTTGTATTCTATGGTGACAGAATGCAGCCCCTACAACAGCTACAACTGCCCCATAGACAGCACATTTCTTCAATATTTCTACAGTCATTTTTAACGATTCTTGATCCAACCATCCGCCATCTTGTTGCTCCAGCCACAGGTAGCCCAAGTGTAGAAGGGTACTTGGCTTGGGCTTCCTGTGTTATTACCAGCGTATGTTCACACAGCGCATGCTTCCAAGGGGTATTCAAGATGGCGGGCAAAATCAAATATTTGTAAAAGAGTAGTTCACTTTTATAAATCGAAACATTATTTCGTATTAAGAAATATTGCTTCTGTCATGAAAGGGCCAGCACAGTCTAGGGTATGATATTGTATTTATTTTATGAAATAATACACCAGGTTTATAACGACTAAGTTTTATGAGTTCAACAACTTTTATTTTCTCGCGTTCAACTAAAATTATTAAAGTTATAAAAAGTAAGCATAAGCTTATATTATTGAACTCGATAAAATTATTCTTTTTAAACACAGCCATCTAAAGCCTCTCTTGTAGCACGCGGGCTTGCTGCAAAGCCTGTCAAAGGGAAAAGGTGAGTAAAACGATCGAAACTTTTGCTGAAGTTTTGGAATTTTCTCGCAGTCACGATGATTTAGACTTGAATTTATTTTTAAGTTGTATTTCTTGTTCACGACCAGAAATGCAAAGAACAAGAAAGTTCCTGATGCCAAGCCTGGTTATTCCTTATATTCCACAGATTCTGAAGACCAGGTTGGTTTTGTATAAAGTCTATGTATTGTTAACAAGCAAAACAGCCCTAAGACTTTTTGGGGTTTTTGGTTTCTTTAATTAAAAAGAAAAAAAAATTTGAAAAAATGAAAAAGAAAAAGAAAAAAATACATACAGCACTAGATATTTTATTCTTCCATTGCACGTTACGTCATCACAGCCTCTTGGGGGAGCATTGGTGGCATTTAACAAAAGATTTCTCATTAGCATCCATTGTTAACAGCACCACAATGGCTGCAATGCTTTTGTCTTTTAACTCTCTTGGGAATTCTTGCAACCTGTCAATTGATAGAAGCCAACAAGACAGATATTTGCCATTATAACAACAACAACAACAACAACAAGTATCTTTATTACCAATTTACATATATACATATATATATATATCAAATTAATTATTTGCATTTGTCCATTTCACAGCCATTTGTTGGCCATTTTTTGATCTCACAAGCTGATGAAATGACCACATTGACATCAATGGACATGTGTTGACGGGTCAAAGAACACAATTACCAACTYCCTAAATCCCACAGTTGGTGATCATAGATAAAATATCAGACCCACCTTACGTACAGTACCTTGGTTATTCCATTCCTACTACTCAAAGGACATTATAAAAACCATATATAACTGATGCATAAAATAATGAATTCCTTTCTTACAGGCTTCCAGTGTTGGTCGAGGTTTAGACAGATGTGCTGCCTTGTTAACTAACATTCTTGACAGTGACTCCAAAGGTAACTCTAGTTACATAACTTCATTTATTGTGTTTCTGTTACAGTGTGACTACTATAACCAGGGCCACTTAGACAGTGTGAACCAATCAAATCGTAGAATAAAAACAATGCATTCCAACTTCGGGTAGTGGAGCCAATCAGAAAGCAGGAGAAAACAATAGCCTTTCAACATAACTTTTTATTCCCATGAGAAAATGATGATGGCTATCTAGTCGTTTACACACGTAACATCAATGTTAAATTACAATTCTCGTGCAGTCTAGGTTTCTGATTTGTTTTCATTCTACACTTTAATGTGGATCTTAATGGAGGCTGTTATATATATTTTTTGTACCAACTATTTAAATCTGGTATAATCATTAATTTAATATTTTTCAAAATATTTCGCATTTGCTTCTAGCTCCCCCTCCACCCCCCCCCTCCCCCAAGTTTGATCATAGAATGAGGACCATAGGTTTGTGTTACCCTCGTTAAAAAACTAGCATCTTTTCACCTTCATGTAAATTATGTCACTTTTCAATGTGAATCAAATAGATCCAAGAAAGATGAAAATAGCAGAGAGTAAGAAGGTTATGAATAAAAGAGGGAGATCTGCATCTACACCAGCTGCTAAGCCTGTGCCTGCTAAAGGCAAGGTTCCTGTTGTCAAATCTCAGGCTATAGTCATTCCCACTGCTTCTCAGAAGGATCAAGGTGAGTATCTCTCTTCTCTGCATTTCTCTCTTCACATTTAATTACTGAGGTAAGTGCTAAAGAAATCCAAGAATTTATTTCCTCCAAAGTTCAGAGACATTATAGGCTCTAAAAAAACTCAGAAGAAGCCTCAAATTTCTCCATTTGGTTAGATTTGTTTTCCAATAGTTTTTGATCTATGCAGTCATCTTAAGGGTAACATATAACAACTTGCTACAACTCAAAAGATAATTTTGTTCACTCTTTTGTTGTGTCAAACCAATAAAGCTGACACATCTTTCCTACGTATGAATTCATTGTTTTGGGAATGATTGCAAACCACTCTCATGCATACGCCTATTTCAAAAAACATTTTCGTGCGAGGTCTGAAATTGCAATCTGATCAATATGACGTAAACAAAATGTGTAATTTTATGTCTTTTGGTTAAGACATAAAAAATCACATTTCCAACTCAAAGGTCTTGCTTCATATTCCAATCTAAAATGAAACCACATTGCAGCAGGTCTCAGATTTCAGGTCTCTGACTGACTTACTTGACTTGACTTACTGTACGCGTCTTTTATTGAAGGATAACTCTTAAGTCAAACCAAAAGCTTACCCCAGCCTATACAGTATTTATAATGTCTTTGTGTTCTCCGCAGCCCCTTCTACAGTCTATAATGATCGTCTTGTTGCATCTACTCCTTTACTAAATTCTGAAGAGAGAAAAAAGCAGCATGATCTATTGGAAAGGGAGCAGGAGTTAACCCGTCAAATACAACAGTTGAGACAACACTTTGAGTTGCTGCAGGTACTGTAAATGATTCAAAAAATAGAATATACCGTATATATATGTATATATATACTGTAGGCTTCTCCAATTCCAACTTTCAATTCCCTGAAACAACTTTTGAAGTGATCAAACTCAGGGCATGGCTATTTAAGCACAGTTTAGATTGCAATGTAGTGTGTCCCATGATTCCCATCTACATATTATTTATTAGAACATGTGTAATAGGTAAATTACGAGCCTTGTATGAAATGACTGAAGAAGAGGGCCAATGGGCCTTTCACAACTTCAAGTCGCGTAAAAAATGAGCCAGCTCAACTAGAAACGGTGGACAGCTGTTTCGGCCTGTATTGGGCCTTGTCAGCATGGTGTATCTAGTGAGCTGGTAGAATTTCATGAAAAAGTAGTACATGAGAGATGAGGAGGTAAGCCGAGTGGGATGGGCTTGGAAATCATATAAGAACATGTGTAATAGGTAAATTACGAGCCTTGTATGAAACAACTTAAGAAGAGGGCCAATGAGCCTTTCACAACTTTAAGTCGCATAAAAAATGTGTCAGCTCATTCAAGATATGAAATTGAATCAATTTTCTTCTTATCCAGCAACAAAAAAGTCCTGAGATTCAGGAACACTGAGATTCAGGAACAGCAAAAACGCAGTCTGCAAGATTCAATGCTACATGAACTAGATGAATACCAGAATACTGAATCACCAAATCCAATGCACCAAAGTTCTTCAAAGAATTCAGCTTCTAGGGATGAGGTGCCCACCAGCCATGCAAACAAAGGTACACCAAGTGCTAGGAGAAGCTTAGACTTTAGTCACTCTCCTGAAACAAATGAAAATGAAATTGGAAAAGAGTCTGCAATAGAAGTACGACAAACAGCTTTGAAAAACAAAGGTGAATCTTTGGGGAGGCCCAAGAAACAGGTCAGGGTTGTATCACCTGACTCAGATGAGCAATATAAGCCAAGGTCAAGGTCACCAACTAGGAATGTCTCCTTTTCTAAACATGCCATTTCCAGTGATCATTTATCAGTTCAGTCCAAATCTAGAATGAGTTTTTCACCAGTAGCAGCTGAAAATCAAGTTAGAACACTACAGTACTTGACAAGAGAATTAAGAGAAGTGATTGGAAAAAGTGGTAGGTAGTTACTGTAAATTGATGTTCCTCTTCCAGCCTCTCAGCAAAATCTCCATACGTCAAAACACCCATCCTACCAGCCATCCATACCCATCCATACATGTACACCTATTAATTTACCCATTCCTTTTCTAAAATGCCAGYTCATCCAGTCGTCGCCCATCAATCCATCTTTAGTCCACCCACACAGCTATTCATCCATTCATTCCATCAATGGACTACCTGACGATAAGATGGCCATCTTGCTAGGGGGCAAAACAAGCAAAGATGAAGGAAAATATATAGTTTCGTGTGTTTGTCTTTCTTATGTGGGTAAAGGTGATCGTTGTGAYGTCTTATGCTCTTGTGGTAAGCTGTTGATATCAATCAATGTCATTACTGTAACAAAGATTTAGTTGTCCCCTGGACTACCCATATTAAATGCCTTGCGATCCAAGATGGCCGCTGTATTGTTGAAGTAGTCCATTTGCTTAATTTGTTTACTTATTCATTCTATCCAGCCATTCATCCATCCATTTATCCATCCTTTTATACATGCCTCCATTTATTGCTTTGCTTATTCAAAATGCTACCATAGTGACAGTTACCATGTACCGTAGCTTAGAAAAATATGAATTTGTTCATCAAGGTTTATCCGTGATATAATGCCTTTACATGCTGTACCTGTCGTGAGTCACCACATCTTATCCTCAAGATACTGTACTCATAAAGAATTCTTATTTAGATGACTTGGAAGTCAATAGATTACTAATGGAAATAGACCAAACATGCAGTCTTTTGCCATACATGTGCACCCCAAGTACCACCACCAACAGCAGCAGCAGCAGTACTAGTGCTGGTAGGGACCACCCTGATGTACACCAACTGAAGCTAGAGAATGCACAGTTGAGAAGGTAAAATTGTGCTCTTGTTATAATTAACAAACAAAACAGCTTTTTTGGTGCTTATAGTGCTAGTCTTACGAAAATATAAATGACGCAAAAAAATCCCCGATTTTCTATATGCTCAAATAGGTTATAATGTTCACCAATGAACAATAATTGGTTCGAAGAAGAAGCTTTTCCCGTCTGAATTCTACTTTCGAAAATTGTTAAAAGCTCGTCCGCCATTTCTATGAGCAGCGATTTTGTCGTTTTAATTTCTGCATTTTAATTTCTGTGTGACGTCATACGCACAACTCAGTGGCATCCTTTTTATCCACACTGACTCTACAACATTCTCTTTAAGAAGGCATGACTTGGTTTAAGGCTTGTTTTTCAGTCAAGAATAGTCGAAATTTGGTTACACATTGTGAAATGCCGCGAATTTTGAAGGGTGGCGCGTATGACGTCACTTCCTTCGAATCACTAAAAGTTGCCAGGAACGCAATCGCTTAATRGCGGACTCAAATGGCCAAACTTTACCGACTAAATGCAACATCTTCCCAGTTTCGTATCGAAAAAGAATTTGGACGGTAAGCTGTATTACATATCTAGTTTTATATGGTACAATTTCCAGGGATGGTGTCATTTTCGTAAGACTAGCTTTTTATGGCGCTTCCTGCTTGCTTTATTACTGAACGGTGCACGGTCGTGTTTTATATAGTTACTGATTTTATTTCGGTATTGAATTTATTTACGTAAAAAGAAAGACGGTCACAGGATCTAGCAGCACTTGGTGCGCGCGGATGGCGTCAGCATTGTGTTCCGTTCACTAATATTTAGCACAATTTTCGACCAATCAGCGCGCACGTACTATGCTAACGATATCATAAAAACTCTTACACAAACCAAAATCGCAAATCGCAGGGGAGGAGACAGTGGGAGTAGAGGCACACATGCGCAACGTTGAGATCACTGAGTATAAAAATCTAAGGAATGTTGTTCTTTTAAAACAGGAGTTTACGGATCACAGAAGGAAAAAGCCAGGAAAAGGAACGTTTGATGCAGAACTTTGAAGACATGCAGAGAGGACAAAGTAGCTTATCATTTGAATGTAAGTACTCCTTCATATCTACAACATAAGCATGGTACTATCACTACCCACACCCCTCCCCTCCCCTACTCGATTTGCTGCTAGACAGATCACCTCAAGAGTTCTCCCAGTGCACCCTTTATAATTTGTGAGGTCCACTAGTCCTAATTCACTGTTTTTGCATTTCAGATTACAGTATATCATTCCCTTGTATATTGTATCTTTGTTTAGCAGTAACACTTGATTAGATACATTAATACATTAATATTATTAAGGTCTACTTGAGGGGGGCTATGGAGGACCCAGGAAGTGTGGGGTACCCAGAATGAAAAAGTGACAATTAATTACCAGACATTTAAACTAAGGTCAAGCGTCGAACTTTACATGAGCCGAACCTAATGACATCAAAGAAGACCGCCTTGTTACAGTGAGTTGGCATTATAGTGCATTATGGGAATTTTTAGGCTAAAATATTTCCAAGGTGGCATCTATTTCGTCCCCTAAAACAGCCCCAAAACGCATTGCATTGTCATCTCACACCAGTTTTCCCTCATATTCTGTATAATTTATTCGTCTTGTGCTTTCTCCTCAGTGGCCGCTTGTAGATCAGAAAATGCGTCACTACAGAAACAGCTTCAAGAAGAAAAAGACTCGAAAGAAAAGCTAAAGAAGGAAATTGAAAACCTTGAGAAAGTGAGTCCCTTTCCAAATAATAATACAGCCTCCGTTTACGTTGTGACGTATTTCCGTCACAAAAACCGCTATTACTGAGCGCGGACTACACCAACCAAAGTCACCCAGACAAATTTAAATGCAAATTAGCCAATCACGATTGAGTATTTAAACAATAGAATTTGTACAAGTATTCACATTTTCCTCTTTAAAGTCATATGTTTTACTTTATACGAGTGTGTGTATGATACGGGAGTGAACAAGAAACAGTTTACCAGAAGTCACTAATTCATCTGTTATGCAGCGTTAAAAAAATGTGATTTGTGAATTTGATTCAAAATTTGTTTGGGTGGCCTTGGGTAATGTAGTTGCACTGTAAGATAAAGCAAAAGATGTTCTCAGTGATTGAAGCATCTTATACTCATTAATGATTCATGAGCTTATCGACTAACCAGGGTTTCTTATTTGTACCACGTGCAGTAGTTTGAAACCCCCATCAAATACGACCGCACCCATTCCAAAGCTCTAGTACTCTAGTACTAGTAAAAGTCCTACTACTCGGACTTTGAAACCTTATATGTATGCGATATTGACGTCAAATTCAAAAGCTCAGGCACTACGACAACTTATGATTTACAACCATCTCTTACCGTATAAGGGGCTCTTCCGTGAGGTTCGCACCACTGACTCACACTAGCACTTCACTATTTACACCATACAACACTCAGCTTACTACCTTTACTCTAAGAACAAATCTCTTGATTGGACCAAATAACCACACAGGTAAGTCTGATCATTTCAAATCTAGAATCACACTTGCGCATGCGTGATGGCCCAAGTCTTACATTCTAACAGCATTTCTGTGTTCACTGTTATTTAGGTTGTGTTAGATTCAAAAGAAGACAAGAAGCGCTTCATACATATCTTGGAGAATAAAGTAAGGAATTGAATCAATAAACATTCTGATAGCTAAATTAAATAACAGGTCACGCGACACTACCCCCTAAAATCAAACAAGTGTATCAAACTGAAGACCAGAAACGAAAAAAGCACCTCGATATTATAGTAAAAAGGCAAAGTTGCTTGCCAGTCCTACGCATTATTCTATTCAGATCCTTATAAAATATTCGATTTTCTATTTAATGCCATTTCTCCTGTGTCACATGTTACGAACAGAAACTTCGCTTTGTTGCTATAATACCGAGGTGCTTTATTGCTTTATTTCTGAACTATTAGATATAATAAAAGTAACAAAATATAGAATTAAAAAATGATAGAGATATAGAAAAACTAATCAAATCAAGACTTCGATTACAATATCCCAAGTGAGTGAAGTAAGTACAGTTAGTATACAACTACGTGTGAGTCGTATTGCATGTGCCAGTACGCATTAGAAGCAAGGTCTCAGCTATAGCTGTCATAGTTCCTATTTGCACATTCCAAGTTTTTGTAGAGCAAGAGCTTTGAGGGCTTTACGGTCAGTTTTACCTGTGTTCTTCAAAGGAAATGCTTCCAGAACCAATGTATACCTTTGTTTTCGCGTTGCTCCAGTTTCATCAGTCTTCCATTGTTGTGATGACCATTCTTCAAACTCGGTTACACTCGACTCCAAGCGGCTCCCTGGCTTTGGAATCACGCATGCGCAAATCTCCTCTCCTTCGCGCTCATCGGGCACGCCAATGACAGCAACTGCCTTGACATCAGGGTAGGTTGACAGCACCATCTCGACTTCAATGGGGTAGATATTGATGGTCATTTTAGAGATCACTTCACTCATTCGGCCGCAAGCATGGAGCCCGCCATGATGGTCAATATAGCCTACGTCATCTGTGTGAAACCATCCCCTTGGATCCACTCGTATTGACGTTGCCTTAGGATCTTCGAGATATTCGCGGAAACGATACGGGTAACGGACACAAATCTCACCCATTTCTTCAAAGCCAACGTCCTCTTTGTTATCATTAATGATTTTGACTTCTGCTGGTGAACAGACCCTCATTCCTGCTTTAGACAACACATCGTCATCGGATCTAATGGTCTTGGCTGCGATAGGAAATATCTCTGTCATTGCATACAAGTTTATGATGGCACAGTTGGGAAGAACAGACATCATATTGGCGAGAAGAGACTTGGAAATAACCTGACCGCCAGTAATCACGTGTTTTAGGTGCGACAAATTAAATTTTTCAGTGGAGGGATTAGCGATCAGATCGTGCATCAAGTAAGGCAGCAGAAGAGCACCAGAACACTTCTCGTCTTGCAAAATTCTAATAAAAAACTCGGGATCAGAACTGCAAACTGATCTTGTTGGAGGACAATAAACAAGGGTAAATCCCATGGCGAAAACATTATGAATACCGATGAACAAACAGCCAGCCCAGCTAAACGGTCTGTCGTTGAAAAATCTACACGGATTCTCTACTGGATGGGGACTGCTGCTACATCCAAGATAATGCTTTGCGAATAGAATACACAGGTTAACCATAGCCCGATGAGTGTACTGAATGGCCTTGGGAACACCAGTGCTTCCCGATGTAAAGAGACACACAAAAGGTTCATCAGGATGGATTGCTTCTTGTCGCTTGTAAACTTCGTCCAAATTGATTTCCTGTGAAGTTTTAAGGAGGTCATTTAAGCGATATTTGACTTCAATGGAAGGATCTTGACCAACATCTTCTTCTCCGATAAGAATGGTTCTATCTTCTCCTAAAACGGTCTTAGCATTTTCAGTCAAGCGCTGGTCGAACAAGTTGTCCCCACTTGGATGTAACAGAAGTGCCTGGCACTTGTACCGCTGCAGAATTGCTATGACGTCTTCCCCGGTTTTTCCATGGGCTGGAATCAAAATCGTATTTGCACCGATCCTATTAAGAGCCAAGTAACACAAGATGAACTCGATGCGATTGGGCACCATGAAAGCAACAGATTGGCCTTTGTCTATTCCAATCTGCAGCAGTATAGCCGCGATCTTAAGCGATTGTTCCTTGACGTCTTGGAAAGTGTAAGATCGGCGCTTTCCTTCTTCATCGTAGATAACAAAGGCTTCTTGTTGAGGGTGTAGATTAGAAGAGTGGTAGTCATGCAGTTGTGCAAAAGTTCGATTCTCAGTTTCGTGAGTTAGTGGCTCGTTAAAGCGGCTTTTCTTGTCTTTCTCGGCCATTGCGATTAAAGAAATAAATACCTCGTATGACCAACGGCACTAGGACGCCTAAAGTGGATGGAGTTTTATAGTTTTTCCCCACCGATTAATTGAATGAGGTACTATTAATGGCACTGAAGAGTAATTGATGAACTATATTATATTACTGTTGACGGTCGAGTATTACTGACGTAACGAGCATCACAAGGTCGCTTTCTATGTTGTTATTAGGGAGTTTAAGATAGGGCAGCTACGGTAGACTACTACGGTTGAACGCGGTTCGTGATCTGGGACGAGTTTCAATGCGCATGGATGAAAATTCATGCATGCAGTRGCTGGCCGTGAATCCGGTATCATTTTGGCTTCCTATTTCAGCCATGGCTTCGCCGAATGCAGAAAATGAAAACTGGTGAGTGTTTATCATGAGTTTTTGGCAAATGCGTACGTATATCAGGTTAAATTTATGAGAATGTATTGTATAGCTTGCTACAATTTAACACGCTGTAATATCGCAATTTGTTAGTTCCACAAGTCCATGCAATGTTCCACGTGTGGAGTCGGATGTCACCGGTTCTCTTCGCAATAAGTAAGTAAAAACAATCAAAACTACTTTGTAATTCTTTCACAAGAGTTAATGCAGAGAGAGAATAAAGTCCATTAAAATGTTTTTCTTAGTTGGGGTTGATTGTCACATCACCTTTTTTTAATTGCAACAAGCGTTCGCTCTAAAATATTTTTATATTTGTACTTTCAATCCCACGACACTTAGGAAACGAAGTAGGAAAATAATGTACTATTATTATTGTTATTGTTATTATAG